GTACCAACTCATCATGAGCTGTAAAAGACCATATAGATCGATATCAAAACTGACTAAGCTAATAAATAAATAGAACGATATATCGAAAAACAAGACAATCTATCTAAATGATTAGTCTATAACTCTGTCTATCCGGCCATCGTCTGAGGGAAGGCCAGTTGACTCATTCGTAAAATTTGCCCAATGTGGGATTTTATGAAACTTAAGGACTCAAAAGAATCACAAAGTTTGTCTCCATTTCAATGCAAAGCGAATAAAATGATATCCCCTTTCTTGATCGTTTGGCAATTCCGACAAACTAATTGGATGCCATTCTTCTTGATTGATGCCACGAATCTCCATTCTCGCTTCCTCCAAATCTCGAAATGAGAATTGATCTTCCTTACCAGTTTCCCTCTGCATTAGAATCTTCCACAAAAACTCGATCCGTACCCTATCCCATTTGCTGTAGAGGTAGTGATCGATGTTTCTTGGACGACAAATACAAAACGCACCATTTAAAAGATATGAAAGAGAAGATAAATTACAACACAAACTCAAACTCTCCACCACAACAGGTTTATCACAACCATTGATTATTTCTTGAATTATGTGACCACCACCACCACCACCACCACCATTCATGGAATATTCATTAAGATTCAGAGAAAATTCACAATCGGTTAATGAGTCGAGCAGTACTTTTAGCTTGAGGAACCACGAAGAAGTAACATGTGAAAGCTCAAAGTTGAGTAATATGTCCGATTCCCACTCGCCTGAAGTTGCTGCAAAAGTGATGGATGGGACAAAGTCTTGTGCAAATTGAAAATATAGTATGTTTGGGGCATCAATAAATAAATGGGAATCTTTGAGTCCAGGCCAACCAAAAATTTTCAAGTATTCGAGGCTAGGGAATTTACACAAAGACAAGTGGTCCAGTGACAAAGTCGCATCGCATAGAGATAATTCTTTTAGATTACAGAAATCCGCTCCTTTGTGGAACCAAAGATTACAATTCGTAATATCAATGGTTTCAAGAGATAATGGGGAGGGATGGATTTCAATGCGACAAACTTCCTCTTCTCCGCGGGTTATATAAGACATTTTAAAGAACAAGTACTTGAGATTGTGAAGATCATCCACCTTAATTGTTCTTAACCATATACATTCTTCGATAGTCAAAGTTTCAATCAAAGGAAAATTTGCGATTATCTTGTCAAAAATCTCATCCTCAATGCAGACTTTATCGAGACGAAGTGATTTTAGGTGCTTGAAGAGTACCATCCTTTCAATAGCCTTTCGGTCGAAATAGAAACTTTCCAGGTGCAAATCTTGGAGTGATACCGCTCCAAATATTACAGGCGGCAGTTTAACAGATCTGTGTCCGGAACGAACGGAGAGACGAAACTTCTTCATGCCCATAACTGTGAGTAGCGGGATCCATTTTTCAAGCAGCGAAACGGATTCATGATCGAGATCGTTGAACATGCCGCCTAGCGATATACGAAGGTGGAATTCCTCCACACACAGCCTTTGGTCGCGGTAACGTTGTAGAGTATCGTTAACGACGAATATGAATTTTTGCTTGTTTTTTTTTAAGGCGACGTCCGAAAAGTCAAGATCAACGTTGAGACGAGTACACCAAGTATAACGCCACGATTTCGACAAGACGGATGTTTGAATAGCCTCTTTTTGGGAGAGGAAGTATAGTATTCTCTGCAAGATGTCTTTCGGCAACTCGGATATTTTGTCCATGGAGATAACCAAGATTTTTCAGTTTTAACGCCGAATAAAGTATCCTTAATTAGGAATTTTCCGACGGAATAAAACTTCAAATAGTTATAGGGGTGGAATCTTTCAACCCTAATAAATTTCTGTCTCGGCTTGCAAAATAGAGGAGCCCCTCCAATAAACTCTTTTATTCCCCGACCGGACTTGTAAGAAACAATATTCTGCACTAGGAGGAAGAATTATATATTCATGTTTTTATTCCAAATTAAATTGGTGTGATTTTCGTGCACACGGATTTCCCTTTTTCGGATTCTCACTACTTATTAGGGTTAAATAATCTTTGCCGTCTGAAGTATATAGCCTATGCAACACTTTTTTTTTTTTTTTTTTTTTTTTACGACTAAATAGTAAATAGCCTATGTAATTTTGGATTTTTTTTGTGAATAGTAATTATTAGGGGATTATGAATAGGTGTTTGTTTGGAATGAATTGATTTCTTTCTAAACAATACATTATAGTATTATACATCTATTCTTAAAGTGACTCTACAAAACAAAACACCTATTCCCAAAAGGAATTTAAATATCTATAAATATGACAAAAAATGGATTTAATTCTACTTTGTACCCTTGAAATATACTATTTTGTCACTTTGCACCCTCAAAACACAATAAATCATTCACAATGCACCATAAATATAATAATAAAGACAATTTCAATTTTCATTGGTATTTTTTTTTCGGGGGTGCAAAATAAAAAAATAAATTGTTATTTTCTTGAACCTCCAACCTAATTTCTAGCGGGCAAAGTGCTAAAAAATAAAAATTACACCAAATTATTTAAAAAGCCTACATTTTCTTACCAAAAAAAATAATAAATAAGTTTTTATCACTAAATTATTCGATTGATGGATCTTTTATGTAATTGTTTGAAATTATTAGGTGAAAATATTTGGAAGAAAATATGATTTTCAGATAACTTGATAACGAAATAGCTGAATGATTTTTTTCGTAAAATATTTGATTTAAAAATTTATTTTTGATGAAATGTATTTTTATTTTTGAACTTTATAGTTTCAAAACGATTGACGAATAAAAAAATTATTTGACATTTGGCATCCTAAAAAAATATCACTAAAAATATTATATTACATGTTTTAGCTTTAAAAATTCATTTGGGGTGCATTATGCATGATTAATTGTATTTCGAGGGTGCAAAGTGCTATTAATCTTGAGAATGCAAAGTGCTGAAATGGTATATTTCAAGGGTGCAAAGTGGAATTAAGCCCAAAACCTGATCAGTTTTATATAAGATATAATAAAACATTTAAGAATTTCTTCCTAAAAACTCTCTGTCGAAATTTAGTTCCAAAGTTTCTAGTTGGCCATGGACCTCGAATTTGTGCAAATATCGAAGAAAACTGACTGTTTTATCTCGGGAGGCTAAGGAGTGACTGTTGCACCGTAGACAACCCGGAAATATTGTCTTAAAGACATTGCTTTTGCAAACCTCAGTCGATTTGTCGCTCTTCGTATTTCCAGTTAGTTTCTACTTTCAAGTAAGTGTAGTTTTTATTTAATTTTTTACGTAGATTGTTATTTGATACCAACATGTAAGACTTAATTATCCCTTTAAGTATCACTAGTAACACTTACCCCCTCCACGTCAATTATTTTATATTTTAAAATTTGAAACATAATAAACATAACAATCTAATAATTATTGGATTATATAAAATTGAAAAGTAGCTAAAGCTAAATTATTGGAAAATAATTAAAAAGTAATATATTTGTATAATAATGAATGGAAATATATTTAAAGAAATTAATGAACTAAAATAAATTTAAATACTAAAGATTACTATTAGTCATGTATTGATTTGTTAAGTGATGTGTCTAATCATAATTAGGCCCATTAACCCAATTAAGATTAGGCCCAAATTGTCTAATTAATCTAATTGTGTGCCAAAACTCAATTAGATTACCTTTTCACCTTTACAAATGACAACACATTGTCCCACATCGGATTTTTACAAAAGTCCTACCTATTCATCCACCTATAAATACATGCGTCATTTCACATAAGAAGGTAGACTCTAATTTGGCAATTAATTACTATTATTTGCTTATATTAATACATCTCGTATCGGCGGTGTACGAGGATAATCGCCGGGCCAAACCCGGCGTGTCATCTAGTGTTTCAATTGTTTTGTAGGTTAACGAGCGGAGCATTCCCTTCGACTACCTCGGACACGTGGCAGTGACTCACGGCATTCTCTATCTTTGTGGGCTCAAGGACTCTTGGGTTGCCCAATTATCATTTGAGCAGCATCATTTTGGCGCCGTCTGTGGGAATGCAAACTCGATCACGTGACACGGGAGGAGGTGGTCAAGGTAGTCTCAATCCGCCTCAACAAGGAGCCGGCGTCGGGATCCCGGATCCGCCCCGAAGAAAGCGAACGGCAGGAGGAACCAGCACTACGGGACCTTCAGTGCCGATCATCCAGATGACGGCGGAAGAATTGCAAGCCATGATGGACGAGACCGCGGCCAAGGCAGCAGCTTGGGCAGCAGCGGACGCAGTAGCCCAATACATCAGCGCTCAGGGCCATAGTGATTTCGAAGAGCCGATTCTTTCAGAAAGCGATCCCACGGATCCCGCTCACGTCCATGTGACTCCGCCCATCGTAGAACTCCACGACTCTGAGGAAAGGGTGTCGTTCAGCGACCGAAGCCTTTCTTCAGAACGGGCTCCTCGAAGGTATGCTCAGCCCCAGTCGCATCAGCATAGCTCAGCCTCAGACCGGGCCCCTCGAAGAGAAGCACGTGGTCGATCACCACGCCCCCTAAGGCAACGGGCTCCCTCAAGGGAGAAAGCGACGCGAGACCGCCGAGAGAGAAGTGGATCTTCTCGGTCGGGTGTCCCACGCCATGAGCCTCGAGACAATAGACATCGACGTTCCTTTCGCCAAGGCGACTCCCCCCGAGACGAGTATGGAAGTAGATACTCTCTCG